TATGAAATGGTCAGAGGAGCCCAACCTTTGGCAAGCTTACTGCTATAGAGTTTCAGTTTGGGGTTTCACCACCTAAAGGCTTCACTGTTTCATAAACTGGTTTTTGGGTATTTACTTTTCTTTTTAGTAACCTTACTTCAGAGGGTTTACCAAAGGGGCCATTATTAAGCTTCTCTCTTATTTAGTGAGTGATTCTCCATCTTGGCTACACATTAGAATCACCTGGGGAGGTTGTACATCTCTGGACATCTCAACCCGAGTGTCTGACTTGATTAGTCAGGGGTGCAGCCTGGATACTGGGGCTTTTAAAAGCTCCCTAGGTAATCTGAAAGTGCATCTGAGATTGAGAGGAGTGCTTTCAGACGTGATGGGCACGTGATAAATCACAGGGGAATCTTGCTGAGATGCAGATGCCAGATCCAGTTGGTCTGATTTGCATTTCTAAGAAGCTTGCAGGTGATACTCATACTGCTGGTGGAGGATCACACTTCCCAAGGCACCAGATGAAACAGATCTCCTTCCAAATGTCCTCTATTCAAACCAGGACTAATGAGCTCTCACCTTCATTTTCTTCCCTCAGGTACCTACACAGACTCAAGTAACATGATTTATAGCTAGAAATGGCATTTTTGTGTATGCTGTTGTTCTGTTTCTGAATATCTGATAGTGAGGATCCTCAGTCATACATGAAAGATTATCTAAAAAAGCAAAACCCCCAAATCAAAATTCAGAATGATGAACTCAGGCTCACAGAAACTAGGGTGCAACTGCTGATGTGGGGACCCACTAAGAACCCCAGAGCTGGGATGAAGATTATTTTAAACTGATGATATTTGGGATTCAACAGATGCAGAGAGAAATCTTTTTGGAACTTCCTTATCTGACTAAACATAGAAACTTCTGAGAAATAAGACCATAAATCCCCTTTTTTCTAGGAGGCTTTTAGGTCCCAGGAAAGAGGCCAAAAGCAAACCTACCCTAAATCACCCTTTGCAGGGGAGTTTTAAGGCCTTGAAAAAGACAAAGACCGTTCACACAGGCACGAACAAACAATCACAAACTTCCTTATCTCCTGTTTTTTCTTTTAGAAACCCATTTGTTCTTCCCAGAGGCCTTTTATCCTCTCTTCTTTTTCTCTACTAAGAAAAGTATATAAGCCTCTAACTTTTACCACTATTGAGCTACTTCTTTTGTAAGCTTCCATATGCATGCAAATAAACTTCTTCTCCTGTTATCTGCCTTTTGTGAGTTTAATCTGCAGACCCCCATGGCCTGAACTTAAGCGCCTAGAGGAAAGGTTTTTCCTCCTAGACACTAAGCCACTGGAGGCTGATATTAAGTAACCTTCCCTTATGTCCATTTCTTTCTTTGTCCCCTGTTCATCCCCCAACCCCCATTCTCTCTCATTTTCCCATTCACCTAAAAGAAAAAAAAAATAAAACCATGTTATCTAACTGGACAGCTACATGTAAAAGAATGAAATTAGAACACTCCCTAACACCATACACAAAAATAAACTCAAAATGGATTAAAGACCTAAATGGAAGGCCAGACACTATGAAACCCTTAGAGGAAAACAGAGGCAGAACACTCTATGACATAAATCACAGCAAGATCCTTTTTGACCCACCTCCTAGAGAAATGGAAATAAAAACAAAAATAAACAAATGGGACCTAATGAAACTTCAAAGCTTTTGCATAGCAAAGGAAACCATAAACAAGACCAAAAGACAACCCTTAGAATGGGAGAAAATATTTGCAAATGAGGCAACTGACAAAGGATTAATCTCTGAAATTTACAAGCAGCTCATGCAGCTCAATATCAAAAAAACAAACAACCCAATCCCAAAATGGGCAGAAGACCTAAATAGACATTTCTCCAAAGAAGATATACAGATTGCCAACAAACACATGAAAGGATGCTCAACATCATTAATCATTAGAGAAATGGAAATCAAAACTACAATGAGATATCATCTCACACCAGTCAGAATGGCTGTCATCAAAAAATCTACAAATAATAAATGCTGGAGAGGGTGTGGAGAAAAGGGAACACTCTTGCACTGTTGGTGGGAATGTAAATTGATACAGCCACTATGGAGAACAGTATGGAGGTTCCTTAAAAAAAACTAAAAATAGAGCTACCATACGACCCAGCAATCCCACTACTGGGCATATACCCTGAGAAAACCATAATTCACAAAGAGTCATGTACCACAATGTTCATTGCAGCTCTATTTACAATAGCCAGGACATGGAAGCAACCTAAGTGTCCACTGACAGACAAATGAATGGATAAAGATGTGGCACATATATACAATGGAATATTACTCAGCCGTAAAAATAAATGAAATTGAGTTATTTGTAGTGAGGTGGATGGACCTAGAGACTGTCATACAGAGTGAAGTAAGTCAGAAAGAGAAAAACAAATACCATATGCTAACACATTTATACGGAATCTAAAAAAAAAAAAAAGTCATGAAGAACCTAGGGGCAGCACGGGAATAAAGATGCAGACCTACTAGAGAATGGACTTGAGGATATCGGGAGGGGGAAGGGTAAGCTGGGACAAAGTGAGAGAGTGGCATGGACATATGTACACTACCAAATGTAAAATAGACAGCTAGTGGGAAGCAACCACATAGCACAGAGAGGTCAGCTAGGTGCTTTGTGACCACCTAGAGGGGTGGGATAGGGAGGGTCGGAAGGAGGGAGACGCAAGAGGGAAGAGATATGGGGACATATGTATAACTGATTCACTTTGTTATAAAGCAGAAACTAACACACCATTGAAAAGCAATTATACTCCAATAAAGATGTTAAAAAAAAATCATGTTATCTAAACAAGCCTTCTATGTCATAGCTCATAAGCTCTTTTCTGTTGTTTTAATAAAGTTCGTGAGACAGATACACATTTCTTTATAAGCATTTACCCATTATGGAAATTAACTTGGAATTCCAATCATGGAATAAATTATGATGATGAGATTGATACAGCAACTGGTCAACACCAGGTAAGAACTTGCTGTCCAAGTACAAGTGGAAATTTTCTGTAAATGGACCTGTGTTATATAGTACAGGCCTACCATAATACCTGAATTGTAGACTTTAGATTTGAACATTGAATAACAGAATGTTCCCTATATACATTATTACATCAGTCAAAAGAATGAAATTGTCATGTATAAAGCATGATTTTTAAAAAATAAATGAACTCAAACTTTGGCCCATACACCTGTATCTCACAGACCATCAAGCAAATAATTTGCTAATTAAGGCAGAATGAATATGAACTATCGGCCCAGAGTAGCATCTAGAGGCTTTTGAAACTGATTTCTTGGCAGCGGACTCGGACCACACACGCTGATGGCCTCAAGCAGTGAGAACCTCTAACAGTAACCTGCGTATTTCAAAGATTAGGCTTTGTCTCCATCCACCCTGGCATCTGGAGGAATCTATCTGAGAAATCTCTGTTCCTCTGCAGCCCTGGAAGTGCTTTTTCTTGCCTCCTAACTTCACTCCTACTTCTCTTCTTTCAGCACTAGGACTGCTTTCCTTTGTTCAAGCCATCTCAGGAGGAAAAACCAGCCCGCTGTGTCATCCTCACAACTTCGTAAAAGGCGGTTTTTATAAGTACCCTGGGCACACGTCATCACCCTCATCATGTTATAGGACCCCATGTGTGAGGAATGAAGAGTATTCTTTAGTCTGTAAAATGGCTATTCTGACAATGGGGCAATTTCGGCTTCGTTCTGAAGCTTCACAAAGCTTTGCAGGCAAATCCTGGCAAGAATTCACCATGACAAAGCTTCACGGAAGCAGATAAATCCTGTGTTCGGGGCTGGAATATATGCAAAGCAATCAAGCACACGGCGTTTCCATGATGAACTGTTACTAACTCAAAGTTAGGGTCGGGGAGGATTTGGGAGCCTTTACTACTGGACATTCAAACATCATAGCAAACTGTGTTGGATATAATAATAACCACTTTGTTAGTATTATTGCAGCTAAACGTTTGTACAGCTTGCTCCACGTCTGTGACTGTGCTGAGTGTTTTAAATCCATCGTCTTGCGTGGAATTCTCTGAGTTAGGTCTTACTATCTCCATTTCAGAGGTGGGGAAACTGAGGAATGAGATTAAGACACTTGCTGGGGAGAGGCAGTGATGGTATCGAACCCAGGGCTCCCCCCTCGTCCCCTTGCTGTCTTTGGCATCGGCAAAGTCACACGTTGCTTTGGAGATCCATCGGATGGTAGATTTGGAGGTGGTTTAGAGATCACACCCCACTTCATACCTTGTGGGTGAAAAAGCAAAGGCTTGGAGAGGTTACCCGAGTAGCCTGATGTCAGTCTGGGTAGAGTGAGGAGGGGACTTACAGGCTCCCCACCACTCGGGGTCCTGTGGACACTGAATCTGCAGCCAGTTCCTTTCGCAGCCAACAGCTGCATCCTTTTAGCGCTGTGATTTCAAATGACAAGTCTTATCACCTGCAGAAGTGGAGCTAAATCCACTGAGCTTTCTAAGCCTAAATGCACCAATAAAACCTGGAAGGTTATGGGATTATATGTACAAATACAGTGTCGGGAGATGAATCCCTGTATGGTTTTAGGTAATCTTTTGATATCAGAACTTGGACAGTGGGGCTGCTAGGCAGCTGAGTCACAAAGGCAAAAGTGAGGAATTGATCTGATCAGATCATCCGACAGTCACGTTGCAGACACTGGTTAAGGTATCTCATCATCTCACTTAAGTGCAGAAGAGTCAATAATTCCTATACTCCTTCCCTTCGACTTATTTACTACTGGCCCTGAGCACGAATACGGTTGTACCTTTTGAGCCCTTGATGTGCTAAGAACTCTGCGCTCACACATTCCTTCGTTCCCTTAATCCTCCAACTACATCACCAGCGACGGTCTGCTATTAACTCCATTTTACAGGTGAGGAAACTGAGGCGTAAAGAAATAAAGCATCCCAGCCAACACACTGCTTTAGACTTTACCTGAATCCAGGTGGTCTAAGTGCCAGGGGTCGGTGGCAGACGACATGGGTGCGAGGGTGAGCGGGGAGGCCCCGCAGTTGGACTCCACCAGCTCGCCCTGGGTGTGCACGCGAGCTGAGGCGTTTGTTTGCCTCAAGGCTGCCTTGAGAGGGGCGATCTGGTTGAACTGAACTCTGGAGAGGCACCCAGTGAATCCCGGCGTGTTGTACTTGTGAATCTCTTGGTCAATCTTCCCTGTTTCTAAAAGAAAAAGAGAAAGTAAAGATCGTATCCCACTCGCCGTATCACCGCTGTAATATACAAGTCCCCTTTGAATGTCTTCAAATCTTCCTCTTACGTTTCAGTTTAAGATATTGTGCTCTTTTAGATGAAAAATTAATGACCTGATAAGGCTTTAGGGCTGGAGACTTCAATTTATAATCAATTTTTTTTTGTTTTTTTTTTTTGCGGTACGCGGGCCTCTCACTGCTGCGGCCCCTCCCGCCGCGGAGCACAGGCTCCGGACGCGCAGGCTCAGCGGCCATGGCTCACGGGCCCAGCCGCTCCACAGCATGTGGGATCTTCCCGGACCGGGGTACGAACCCGCGTCCCCTGCACCAGCAGGCGGACTCCCAACCACTGCACCACCAGCGAAGCCCTGGACGCTTCACTTTAAAAGAGCCTTCTGTGTTGCTAGAGAACATGGTGAGGAGAGTAAGACTATACTTGGGAAAATGAAACACATGCCTCATCACCTTCCAGCTACGTGAGATACTGCCGACACTATCAACACTCGCTTGGTTCTGACTGACTTTTCTCCCCTTTTCTGATGCTTCAGTGACCCTCATATATATTGAACAGCCCTCCCAGCCCTCCTGGTAGATTATGGTTTCATTTGGTGCCTCTTATTTTCTTCTTTAGAATTCTTTATTTAAAAAAGAGAAGAGAAGAAAAGAAAAAGCGTTCCCATAGCCTATAGTGGGGCATTTCCTTTCTTTAGAATCCAATCCCCTGGGAATTCTGGGGTTTCCAGAATCTCAGCTAGCATCAGATGGGCACTTTGGAAGTCAGGAAACTTTCCCAACTCAGTCACAAACATACGTGTGCATTTAAGAATCACCACCCGCCCCAAACCTGTAGTCAGCATCTTCTTCCTAACTAACATTCAAATCAGGGGTCAGTCTGGGTGGAGGCACTTCCAAAGCACTGTTTCGATGACTATAAACACACATTGTCATACCAGTCATATCAGCAAAAGCAAGTGTCTTCGCGACCGCAGCCCTGGGTTTTAGAATCTACCTGGCACCAACGACTGTTGGAGGAGTCCTGGACCCTCCTGATGCATGGCTCTCGCCAGTGTGGCTCCGGTACCAGCAGCAGCAGTGGCACCTGGGAAAGCATTAGAAACGCATGGGGCGGGGCCCAGCAATCTGTGTGCTGCAAACCCTCCAGGTGGTCCCGACACCGCTAAGGTTTGAGAACTACTGCTACAGGCAATGATGGTGCAGGGCTACAAACTCAGGGGCTGGGCAAACGGCACTCCAGAGAAGGGCACAGCGCTTGTATTCTGGGTGGGAGAGTATGTTAACATGACAATGACCTTGTAAACGCAAGGACGAGGTTGTGAGACACTTACCCTTCCACTTGAACTGTGAAAAACAAAGACTTGGGGAAACAGGGGGCTAGCTACTTCTTTGAAAAGTTGGATGTTACAACCTTTTACACCTGGGGAATGAATCCAGGTGAAATAGCCTTGTATAAAAATTTACTCCCCATTAATTAAAGAATATATCAGTGGAGAAGGGAGCTTTTAGGCCTTGGGGGCAGAAGAAATGAATGTACTGATTATTCATCACATTAAAAAAAACGTGTCATGACTGAGCTGTCCTGGTTCCGTGTGAAGTTTGATTAACAGAGAGCTATGACAATGGGGATGATGAAGAATGGCAATTCCGGGGATTCTAATAGGGTCTTACTTAGACAAGTACATAGAGAAATTTTAATTGATGATTCTCCATATTTTTCTCCTGCAGTAAATTTCAGCCTGTGACTTTGAGCTAAAGCACATCCCATTTAGGATGGGGAGGTAGGATGCACCTGCCACCAAGTACAAAAACCCTGCGGCCAGGATGTATCCTGAGGCTTCCATGACGACCAGGAAGAGGCTCTGGTCCCACCGACACCTGCGCTGGCTTGTTCCCCTCTTCCTCCCTTGCCTTTTCCTCAATGACTGCAGGCTACTCAATGACTCACTCTTCGTCTCCTTGTCTAATATCAGAACCCCTTGTGCGTTCACCAGCTTGCCTTCCACGCACACCCTTCCAGTGTTTGGTTTCCATCCCCTCCCCCCAGTGATCTGCCTTCCCTCGAAACACCCTCAGACCAAGGAGACTCGGGATGACTGATCCCAGCACGGGGACGCGGACCTCAGTTCCTTGCTGTCCGGAATTCCTATCTGGCTTCACTGGTGGTAGAGGCACCAGAACAAATAGCTGCTTGGTGGCAGGAAGCTGGGGACACCTCAGCTCCATCAGCTGCCCATAAAAGGAGAGTCCTTTTTAGCCTGTCTAGCTTGAGGGGAGGGTGCCACAAGGAAGCTTCTGGGGCTGGTGGCTACTGCCATCTTGTGGGACTTCAGGTCAGGTCAGTTCGATTCAATTCACTTCATCGCAGGAACTGGGTGCGTGCAGCAGTATTAGGAAGGTAGACAAATACAGGGGTTTACCCTGAGCAGCTCACAGCCTCGCTAGGAAACAAGCATACGAACAACCAACTAACGTGACTGAACACAAGCTGTCCAGTAACAAGAGTTAGTATTTGTTGAACTCCCTTAAAATGTGCTAGTTGTCTTAGACAAACTGGATATTTAATTCTTAGAACAACCCTTGGAGGTGCGAGCATTATTATCCCTCTGCAACATGTGAGGAAATGAGGCTTAAGATACGTCGGCTGTTGAGGCCAGGCAGACTGACCCCAGGCCTCCTAACCCCTACAACCTTCCTAGCTAAGAAACAAAACTTACATTTGGTAAACTTACTATTATTTTTAAAAAATTAATTAATCAGTTAATTTTGGCTGCGCCAGGTCTTAGTTGAGGCATGTGGACTTCTTAGTTGCGGCATGCATGCGGGATCTAGTTCCCCGACCAGGGATTGAACCCGGGCCCCCTGCATTGGGAGCGTGGAGTCTTACCCACTGGACCGCCAGGGAAATCCCCAGGTAAAATTATTAAAGTCTATGGTAAAGCAGGGAAGTAGGTTTGCATGGGGTTCTGGAAAGCACTTCAGGAGGGGTAACACTACAGCTAGGTTTTTTTTTGGTAAGAACACTTAACATAAGATTTACCCTCTTAACAAATGTTTACATAACAAATACAGTGTACTGTTAACTACAGACACTCTGGGACTTATTCTTCTTGCATAAGGGAAAGTTTGTACCTTTCACCCATGCCCCCCAATGCCCCTCCCCCCAGCCCCTGGAAACCATGATTCTACTCTCGGCTTCTATGAGTTTGACGATTTTAGGGGCCTGACATAAGTGGGATCATGTAGTATTTATTCTTCTGTGTCTGGTTTATTTCACTTAGCATAATGTCCTCCAAGTTCATCCATGTTGTAGCAAATGCCAGGATTTCCTTCTTTCTTAAGGCTGAATAATATTCCATTGTATGTGTACACTATATTTTCTTCATCCATTCACCTGTCGATGGACATGTAGGTTGTTTCCATGTCTTGGCTATTGTAAATAATGCTGCAATGAACATGGGAGTGCAGATACCTCTCTGAGATCTTGATTTCAATTCTTTGGTGTACGTACCCAGAAGTGGAGTTGCTGGATCACATGGTAGTTCTATTTTTAATTTTTTGAAAAACTTCCATACAGTTTTCCACAGTGGCTACACCATTCCACATTCCCACCAATTTCTCCACATCACCACCAAGGCTTGCTGTCTTCCGTAGAACTAGGTTTTGAGGATGAAAGGAAAGAGGACTCCAGGCTGAGTTTGTCATGAGGTTTTTGTGGGAGTCAGATGGGGTCAGAGCTCAAGGCCAGATTGGGAAGGGCCTTGAACACCATGTTAAGATGTCTGTATTTCAGTAGGAAACTTAAATATAAGCTGCAGGGGATGATTGTGGGAACCATATTGGAAAGATAATTCTAGAGGAGCCCAGCAATTTGCTCTGAGCAGGCGATCTCATTGGCCCCTCAGGGCCCTGCAAGCTCCCTGGGTGAAGAGAGGGAGGGATTCTTCTTTTTGCTGAAGGGCTGAGGCAGAGTTAAGCTGTGGATAAAGCGACGTGTTCACCACCAGCACCCTCTTGTCTTTTGCGCAGCCATTGTAGAATCTATAGAGAGTCCGTTTTGAGTTTGGTTCCTCCGCTAGAGATTTGGGTATGAAACTTCTGACTCCGGCTGCATTTCATACGGTCCCTGACATAGTTTTCTAAACTTGAAGTCGGGCCAGCTTTCCAATCACGCCACAGAAAACGGGTTCAAAGCTGTATTTACCTGAGGGCTCCCAATTTAACGTGGGGTCCCCCCTTCTTAAAGAGCTGTCCTCCCATGAGCGTTTCCCCCTGAAGTGACCCTCAAAGAGGGATTACAGACACAAGGCAGATGGCCAGAGGGGAGCCCCCAGGAAGGGGGTTCTGATGAGGACCACGGACCAGAGGAACGGCGGGAAGCAGGGGCTCTGAGGCTCCCGCCGTGGCGGGGGTCGCCGTGAGCGTTGGTGGAAATGTCTACCAAGTGGGCAGCGGCTGGGGGCTGGGCTGCAAGGACTGCCCTGGGGGCTGAACTGCTGCACTTTTCCCTTCTCTTCGCAGCTTGTTCGCTCAGCTCACGCTCTTCCTTACCCCAGTGTTTCGACTGCTGTTCCTTTCCTGAAAGGCAGCTAGGTCACAGAAATGAGGGTCCTGATGCCCAGGAGAGCAGACAGTTCCAAACCTGGACAGTGATCCAGATCCAGCTGATGTGCCCCTAAAGACTCCTGGCTGAGACCCATTCCCTGGGGACCACAAATGCAATAGACACTCTGGTTTCTTCAGGGCCAGATGGTTCCAACTCTGGACCGTGTGATAATAATAATATTAAAAGCTTCCACGATAAACCAAAATTGGTACATGTGTGAGGTACTGTGTTTTGGTACACTTCATGCAGTATTTCACTGTTTCCTAACAACCCTCTGAGCTAAAAAGGATTATCCCCACTTCACAGATGGGAAAACTGAGGCTTAGAGGAGTTAATAACTGAATGAACAT